GTTAATCATCACCACCACCATCGTCATGCTGACGTCTCTCTCTTTTCCTCCTCCTCCTCCTCCGCTCCCCTCGCCCCCCCCCCCCCGCACCCCATAGGGGCACAGGCCAGGGTATAGCTTTTATGATGTGTTATACTGACACCCACCGGGCTTCATACATATTTAGGAAGGTTTTTACCCCTTTTCATTATTTGAATTTTCACTCCCCACTGCTTTTGAGGTGCGTTGTTTTTCATAGGTTAATTCATTAGTTCTCATACTCATTCACATTTGTCATCTTATCACCATAGTAACAGTAACGTTAAGGACGTTTCTAACAGTTCACCCTGACTACGAACGGTTATCTTGTGGTCTCAACTAATCTCTAGTAGACATTATTATCCAAACTCAGTAATTATTTTCAAAACATCAGGATATCTCAACCAGACACAAGTTTAGCAGGTTTATCATCAATTTACTTATACTAATTTACCTTTGTAATGTAGCTAACTCATCCTAAGGCCTAATTTGGCAATGCCTGAGAACTGTTATAAGTATTAATTAATGCTGTATTTTACCTCTGTATCTTAAATATAGCTGACACCTTTTATCCTTGGCTACAGAATAATTGTGGTGTCACTCACTGAAGGACAGTCCTGGTTATGATAGCTTGTGCGCAGATAACAGCTTATTTTCATGTTGGCAGAGTGGAAAACTAAACATGTTCATCATATTTGCAATGAGCATGTCCTAACCTATGGAAATAGCCCTGTCATCCAACTGTCATTCAGAACCTATGTCTCTTCACAGGACAGCAACAAGCTGGAGTTGTTGCCTACCCCCCTGCAGTGCCTCCAAGACCACCGCCCTCACAGGTGAAGTTGACTTATTCTGTTACCATTTTTTTTAAATTAAATAGTATATCTAAGTCTTTGGCCATGTGCGGTCTTTGTCTGTTGAATTTTTAACTTTACTCTAAAATATGGGCAGCAAGGAAGCACATAAGGCCGGTCTTTCGGAAACATTGCGGGTATGAATGTGTACCAGAGCTTTCAAGCCTAGGCTTCTGCCACCTTGCAGGGCTTCCCCAGGAAGATGGGGACCTGCTCCTAGGGAAGCAATGGACTAAAAGGACACATTGAGGCCTGAAGTACCTTTCCCCTGAGGTCAAGGGGAAGTGTCTCTGGTCCAGGAGCCACATGGGTGGGAGGGGGAGGTGGGAGGCAGAAAGTTACAAACTTTTGAACACCCTTCCCAGAATAATTCCTTGGTAGCAGTACAGAAATATGCTACACAAATATTGTGGCCTGAGTTGGGGGTGGTGACAGACACCCGTTGGCAGAGGGTCCCCTGTTCTTTGTAAACTCTCACCTGAAATCTGACAAACTCACTGCACCAAACACATGTCTGACAAGATATTTATCCATGAAGAATAACATGTAAGCTATCAACTGAAAGCATGTAACTTGTCAAGACTCAAAATTGAGATGTATGTACAGGTAATATTTGTGGAGTAATGTATTTATCTAAAGTATGCTTTATGGACTTGGAGTAGAAATTAGTCACCTGAGTGATGTTTCAATGATGATCCATCCATTTAAGCAAGAGGGAGTTGCTAATCAGTCCCTAGTCAGCTGGCTAGGCAATGCAAGGTTCTATTGTCTGTCCTTGCCACATCCCAAAACAGTCAATGGAAAACCATGAGAGACCATGATAAACAATCAAAACCATTTAAAGGTAGAAAAGAAACTCTACAACAAGGCAGGAATTCACCCTGCCTGTTTTCAGTATGACATAGACCTGGTCTACGCTACAGGTTACTTGGTACAATTTACGTAACTCAGCAGTGTGAATAATCCATATGTAAGTTGTATTAACCTAAGCACCGATATAGACATTGCTATGTTGGCGGGAGAGCTTCTCCCACCAACATAGCTACCGCCTCTCACCGAGGCAGGAGTTAAGCTCTCCCGTCAGCTTAGAGCATCTCCACCACAAGTGCTGCATCAGTGCAGCTGCACTGCTGTAAGTGCTGTAGTGTAGTGAAGGGCACTGTGGCTCCATCACTGAGGAAATCCCTTAAGGAGCTTCCATGAAAGCTTTTATCCTGGTTCTGGTGAAACCAGCCAGCTCTGCAATGGGCTCATGTTTGTGGGGGAAGCCTACTTTATTATATAGGAAAGGTAATTGGATAAGTGTAAAATCATTTAATGATTCTGTTTTGTGTTGTAAGCAGTTACCCCCATCATTTTCTCACTAGTTAAATCTTTATTCTTTCTCAAATAAATCTATTTTGATTAGAAGACCTCACAAGTGCTGTGCTGACAGAAATGGTGGTTTAAGGTAAAACTGGTAAATTATGGTACACAACACCTTTGATAGCAGAGGATCTGAAATTTCTGTGATTAGTCAATATTGGGCTGTATCACAGGGGAATGATTCAAAGGGATTCAGGGATTGCAGTGCAGGTATTGTTAACCTGCCTGGCAAAGGAAGAGCTGGCAACATCAGGGAGCTGTCACCCAGCTACCACAAGAAAAGACTCCTCATTGGAGGCCAGGGTAACAAGGTGATTCATAGTTCTGGGTACCCTGAGAACAGTCACAGGTGGCATATACAGTTTTAAGTACTATGAAATTTTTGCTCACATTCACATCTCCAGTACCTTGCTTTGTGGAAATTACTCACTTCCCTCTTCCTATTAGGGGAGTGCACAGTAGGGGTGGGGGGCTGCGGTTCTGGAGCAGTGCATAAGCTGGATGGTGGTGCATGTGAGTAGCAAGTGTGAGAGTGTTGCCAAATGTTCTCAATAGATCAGGGAATCTTTTTTGGTTTATCTTGTGCATTTCACAGAATTATGGGAAGTCACTTCCAGTTATTGACTATTTATAGTCATTCTCCCCGATTAGTTTTGTGAGAGTTTCACAAACCAATGGAGCGAAGAAAAACATTTTCAAAAATAGGGAATGCTGTTACAAAACCATCAAAAATGGCAAGTGGGGGAAGGGAAGGTGCAATAGCTGAAGCTACTTTTAACTCCTTTCTTTTAATTGACTAAATTTCAGGTGAAGATGTCCCTTTAATATTTCAAGGCTCCTCAGTTAACTTGTGACAATGAACAATTAAAATTAGATTAAAGGAATATGTACTTTTCTTTTAATTGAAAAAAAAACTTTAAATCTTACAAAACCTCTAAATTATGTTAGTCCTTTACTAATCAGGTACAACTCAGCTGGAGGCAATTGAGCACAATATGAATTGCTCTTTCACTTTGAATTCAGGTTTGACTGTGTTTTGTATTTGTTTACCTCATTCATAAGATTGTGTAGCTTCATATTTTGTCCCAAATAGTAATGAAATCTGAACATGAGGCAGTATATCCCCTGTGGGCCAGTCCTGTCTCCACTTCCAAGCCTAAATAACCACCTGAAGCCAAAAGTGTGGGTTGACCCTGACTGGCTAAAACAAATACAATTTAAAAATGTTTTGATGTGCACTTCGTCATGTTGTTAATTAGCATGTCGCAGTAAAAAGGTTTTATCTACTTCACTATCAGCCACCCACCTTACTTTAAATATTAAAGTACATTAACCTTGAGACTGGGATAGAGGATAGAAGAAAAAGAGACTTTTCAATTTGCCTTCCCCAAAGTGACAAGCTACTCTTCTAGAAGTAGCAGTTTGTGAGCCTCTAGCCACTTATATCAGTAAATATAAATTGGGAATCATTCATTATCCTTAGTTTTTGTTTTTTCTTATAGGAATTGAGTTGAAAGGGGTTGTTGCAAACTAATCCTAAAAGAATGCTTAACTTCTTAGAGATGACACAGAAAGGGGGTCAGAAAGTCTTATTAATACTAAGATAAGTTGTTAATAAACATGTATATTTAAAATAGGAGACAATATAAAGGTAATACTTCCCCTAATAATTATCCTTCATATTTCTACTTCTCGGGGGGAGAGCATTGTATAATTCCCAAACTATTAAAAAAAAAAAAAAAGGTTAAAATTAACAAGCTGTAGGCTAAAAAGCCACAAGATACATCCGGGAGTGCTTTAAATGATTGGTGTGCTACTTTTATGCTTGAAGGCACTCTTCCATTGGTATCAGTCACAACTCTCCCAAGCAATGAACCAACATTTTGCTCCAGTACACCTTGGTATTGCTGCAGGGTTTCTCCTCTCTCACACTATTCAATTCTGAATTGTTGTGTAGCCTTTAGCCTCCAATATTCCATCTGCCTTTTTTTTGTCTTTCACCTTCCTGCTGTTTCAGTTGAGCTCCAGAAGAGCACTTTGGAGGAAGGGTAGGTTTTATCCGTTCAAAGAGATGTACACTTGGAAAAATGGACAACAAAACAGTTTAGGAGAAAGGAAAGAAGTTTAACTTTACCACTGATAATTTTTGTACCATTGATAATGGGCGACCAAAGTGTTCTGCCCCTTCTTACAAATGTAGTCATTTTGTACTTGTATGATAAGAAGCATGTTTGTTCCAGTGACAGGACAGAAACTTCCAAGCGTTATTACAAGTCTAAACAAAGGCACTAATTTCTGCAGTAATACATTAATTAAATAATTGTCCTTGGTTAGCATTCTTGCATAAACTCTTGTTTGGACAAGATTTTGCTCCTATGTTATGTCAGTTATTTCAGGAACACAGTATTAGTAATTACTGTCATCTTTGTTTTGCTATAGGGTGCAGGTCCTCATGTGCATCGTTCAGTGGATGCTGAAAGCCTAATAACGCATACCAGTACCTCACCTCAGCAAATACCAGAACAGCCAAATTTTGCAGACTTCAGCCAGTTTGAGGCATTTGCTGCATCAGGTGTAAATGAAGAGGAGGAGGATGAAATTGAAACACATTCAGAAGTCTTGCAGGTCAGCGTAAATGGATATAGTGTAGACCACTTAGTGTTATACACTGGTGTACCCTGCTAGTTATACCCAGTAGACCTTGCTTAAATCGCTTCCTGCCTGTTTCCCTGTCCACTGTTTGTCTGTCAAGCCTGTTCTGTTTGTAAACTCTTTTGGGCAGATACAATCTTATTGTGTATGTGTTTTTTGTATAATGCCTAGAATAATGGGGCCCTGATCTTTGTTGCAGGCCTTTGAGTTACTATAATATAAATAATATGTAACATCTGATTTAGATCAGAAGAGTTTCAAATAAGTCTTTATAATTTGGTCGTCTCTTTATACTGAGGTTAGCTCCAGTAGCAAGAGGTTATAATTTACAGTCTAACAATCCTCTCTTGTTGCTGCCTCTCATGAAACGTAACTTTCCTACATGTCTCTGGTGATGTGATCTTATTGCAGATCAGAAATAGTGAGAGTAGTGTGGTGTAGAGATTTACTAAATGGTGCTGATAATCAGCTACAGCCCTTTCTCTCCATCCCTGAGCCTTAAGAGGACTTGTGCTCACATAAGAGACTTGAGAATGTAAACTGTGTTCATATAACCGGAGAACATACCAGTATGACACACCTGGCTATCATCTTAATTGTAACAGAATTAAATATTTGCGGAACTGTACAGAGTTTCTAAACTGTCTCATTCTCTGTAGGTTGAAAAACCCTCTGATTCTGCAGGCTCCCTTAGGGTTGCCAAAACAGATGGCAGAGTTGAAGACAAGGCAGCTGCTAGTGTCCCTGTTAATGCGGTATGTAAAATGAAATTTAAGGGGAAAGTGTAGGTTTTAACACATAGAAGAATGTGTATTAGAACAGTTGCCAGGTAGTGACTGCTACATCTGAGTTTGCAGAAGCTTCCATTTGAACTCAGTTTTCAAAAGCTCAGAACGTCTTGAAATATTTACATTTTTGGCTAAAATATTATATGCTTGCTGGGCTGGTTCCATCTAAAATTATGACAGTAGAAGCTCACTTTAATGAAGGTAGATTGCTTACATGTAATGATCAGATTGTTACCAAAATTGATTCATACAGGGGTTATTTTTAGGATTTTAGTCCATAGGGAACAGATGGCTGGAGTCATTTTATTTTTATATAATATATATCCATCCCAAGGTCAATTACTACTCCCTTGAGGTGAGTTATTCTCGTGCAGTTTTTCTGATGCTACCTGAGAACTCAAGTAGACCTGTTATGAGTCAATGTTCTCAGAACTCATACAGTAAATAAATTAATTTCACAAAAAGTTTTGCACAGCCAGTTGATTTGAGTACAAATATAATTAATTGTGATGTGTGCTTATGGGCTGCCTTTTGCCTCCCAGGGAAAAGGCACCACACCTCTTGCTCCACCACCAAAGCCTATTCGCAGAAGGTTAAAATCAGAAGATGAGCTGAGACCTGAAGTTGAGGAGCATACACAGAAAACAGGTGTCATAGCTGCTGTTCTTGCTTCACAGCCATCTATCCCTAGGTAACCCAGGATGAGTATGAATACATCTAATATTGGGAAGTTCACATTGAAACAGCAAATAAAACTGTTAGCTTACGGAAGAGCTACAAGCAATTTTACAATGTGTTGAATAACTATTAGTGGCTGTAAGTCAGATATATAAAACTACTAAGGGAGTCAATATAAATATTAAAGGTTGAGATATACCTAATAAGGCACTCCAATTGTTTGGATGAAAAACTTACTAACATTTTGCAAAATACATTGACTATCAAAAGTGCTCTGTAAATGTTAGTGTTGTATTGTTAATTTTGAATAAAGTTTGTGAGTACGGATGGTCTTGAACTTAAATGTGCAGTTTTCATATTCTCCTTTACCCTCAAGTCTATGCTAAACAAAATCAAATTAAATTAAAGTCAATCTGGTATTGTTTCAGTAGTCTGGAAGGTGTAAATTTATTATAGCAATTTAAGAATGTAATTCATTGTCTTTGTTCTGTAGGAAACTGGTATGCAAAGCTTCTGTGCAAACAAGGCTAGTGTACTATGTTCTAGTCTATAGAAAGGAAAATAAGTGGGAAGAGTCACTAAATTATGTAAAAAAGTGTCCTCTGTACAGCTCTTGCTGAGCACTTTAAATAGGGACTAAGGAATTGAGTAGACTTATCAAAGTTATTTCTTGGTGTGCTTGGCAGTGAAAAGACTTACAAAAAAACACTTAATATATCCTCAGATCCGTGGGGAAAGACAAGAAGGCAATTCAGGCATCAATTAGACGCAATAAGGAAACGAACACTGTTTTGGCCAGATTGAATAGTGAATTACAGCAACAGTTAAAGGTAATACCATCATTCTCTTTGTATGTCAGTTTCTGAGGAGTAAGTGTGTGCACATGTGTAGGCTGAAATAGCATAGTGATAGGGCCATTTAAGTACCAAGGTAGAGATCTGTGTGTATTACCATTTGTGTGTTATATGGGAGAGGGCATAAGAGAGAGCTATTTAAGATGTTAAGCTGTTTTTATACATAAGTGAATAACTAGGTAGGCATTAGTACTGCTGAAAAGGATCTGTGGATCACAAAATAAATATGCACCAGTAATGTGGTACAGTTGCAAAAAAAGCTAATATTCTGGGTGTACTAATAGGAGTGTTTTATATAAGACATGGGAGGTAATTGTCTCACTGTACTTGACACTGATGAGGCCTCAGCTGCAGTAAAGTGTCCACTTTTGGGCACCACGTTTAATGAAAGATGTGGCCAAATTGGAGACAGTCCAGAGGAGAGCAACAAAAATAAGTGTAGAAAACCTGACGTATGAGGAAACGTTAATAAATAAATAAACCTAAGCATGTTTAGTCTTGAGAAAAGATGATTGGGGAGATCTGATAAGTCTTCAGATATGTTAAGGGCTTTATAAAGAGAAAGGTGATTGATTAATTGTTCTTCATGTCCCACTGAAGGAAGGATAAGAAGTAATCATCTTAATCTGCAGCAAGGGAGATTTGGGTTCAGTATTAGCAAAAACTTTATAAGGATAGTTAAGCACTGGAGTAGGCTTCCAAGGGAGGTTATGAAATCCCTGTCATTGGATGTTTTTAAGAACAAGTTGGACAAACAGCTGACAGGGATTGGCTAGGTATACTTCGCCCTGCCTCAATGCAGGAGGCTGGAGTAGATGACCTCTCAAGGTCCCTCTCAGCCCTACATTTCTATGAGTCTGTGATTACAGGAGATCGCTATTTGCAATGTGCTCTTGTGGAACTCTGAAAACAGAAGACAAGAAAATTAGTTTGTGTTGAAGTGTTTCTACAAGGTGCCTTCTTGTTTCTAATTATCTTGATATTACTGATTAACGTGCTGTTAAGTATAGCAAAAATAAGACTAGAACAATTATTAACTTGTACACTTAATATCACTATTCTGAGATGACGGTATTAGGAAAACTAGCAAATGCACTTAGAAGTGCATTTGTGGTTTTTTCCTCAGCCTTTGGCGTGGGGGGAAGGGGGAGAATCAAATCCTGAAACATGTTGATGAAATGTAAAACACTGATTCATTTCATGAGCATGTTATTCGAGGGGGGGGGAAGGGCACAAAATATCTGAAATGCAAAAATTGCAATTCAGTAAATAAACACAAGAAAACAGTCACCAGTCTAACCTAACTAGTTAAATTGCTCACTGTTGTTTTGTGCTTTACCTTTTGAATTTGTCTTTGGATGCCAATGTACTTTTACCTAATTTATGTTTTTCAGCACCTCATCTTAGTTATGAATTTCATACTAAACCAATCCAGATGCTAAACGCATTGGATTTATGCTGTGCTGGCTAGATAGGAGTGCAGGTCATTTAGAAAACTGACAAGTCTGAATTCAAATCTGTATTATAGTTCTTTAAAGACAGTTGGGATGGGTGAAATTCACCGAAGATGAACTTCAAGTTCATAAAACTTTAACCAAGTGAAATTCTGCCTCACTCTCTTCTCCTGATTTTATTTGAAAATATCATATGTATAAATTCATGTCTACTTATCCTTGCCTAGTATTTGGGTGGCACAAAAAGCAATGCAGCCTGCTAAATGGCTTTATTTTTTAACAAAGGTCTCATTCATAGTGTGCAGAATTCACTAGCCGAGGCTCTGATTCAGCTGAAGGGAGGGGGTTCTTGTATTCTTTAGAGAACAACTTGAAGTGAATGCCCAAAGCTGATGCTAACATTTACCTTATTTTGATCACAGTAAGAATTTTTTCACAATGTTCTTTCACTTTGGACTGTAAATTGAAAATCTTTCCTTTCCAGGATGTTCTTGAAGAGAGAATCTCCCTGGAAGTCCAACTGGAACAGCTTCGACCCTTCTCTCACCTATAAGCCAATTGCCGTTAATTGTGAATTTACTAAATTTGGAAAGGGGGATTGGGTTCAAAGCCTATTGAAGACCCATTCATTCAGCTCAATGCGCTCTATTCAACATTAAATTTTGTGATTCTGTTCTGTCCAGTTTGTCCATCTTTGCATTTAAATATTTTAACTTCAGTCAAAAAAATCAGGATAACTTTTTTCCTTTAATGTTGTGTATCTTGGCACTGCCTCCCCTGCCATTTCCTTGGGAGTGCATGATCTTTCTGCTGGAGTTGAGTTTGCACAATTTCAGTGGCCAAAACTTCAAACTGGAATTAATTACCTAATCGTTTCTATATTTCATGTCAAAGAAAAGGACAGCTTATCAGTTAACTTTTAACATTAAAGCACACATATACCATAAATGCCTCTTACATTGCAGCATTTATTTTATTGTGTAAAACAGGAAAACTAATCTGGTATGTGAACCAAAATTGATCTCCCAAACCACCTTTCACAATTTAGCAAGTAATTCACAATTCCAGAAAGCCTGCCTTTTTTGCAATAAAGTAGCTCCCTCAGGCTGCCACAGAGTTTCTTGCAGGCTACCTTGCCATATCAGCTAAAATTGGTTATTTCATCTTTGTTTCATACTTTGTGCAGTATGTGACCAGATTGCCAGGTGTTCACATTTTTCCACTCATGATCTTGATTCAGCCGCATGCATATAAATGACCTATGGTACAACTGATACTATACGTAACAGACCTTCCTCGGTCATCTCTTCTGTGAAAAGAATTGGGTGTTAATTCCCAATGTATTGATTGCACATTTCCTGAGCACTACCTGTAAATGCATGCTTCACACATTACCTTTTATTAACAGATCATATCCACCAGTCTTTACTGTAACAGATTGTACTGTCAAGTAATGTGTCAATACCTCTCTGAACTTCTAATTCCCAGCCAAAAAATAAACAGTTTGTTTCTTAGGACTTCTGGGTTACCTTCTGTTACCTTGTCTCCAGGCCTTATTCTTCTGGCATATAGACAGGTTTCACTATTAACAAAAGTTCCCTGAGTGTATCCTGTTATTGGGGTTGATGTACTGTATTAGGTTTTGTTGTATATTGTATGATACACACCTTTTGATCTCATATGTAAATTTGCATTAATTGCTGACTAACAGCAGATATTCTATTTAATGGCTTCTTCTGGCTGTGGGATCATAGATGTTAAACCGCATGGATGTATCTCAGCAGAATCAGAACTAGCAATTGTGTGATTTTTACACCAATAAAACAGCACAATATTTTAATTTTGTTGATTCATCTTTAACTGGAACTTGTAACTCTCACAAATCTGCAGGAATATATTTTTTAATCTTTTTGATGGCAGTCACAAGGAGCAGTAGATCCCTTTGTTCTTCTAGTTTTCAGCTATTGGCCATCTTGGATTTTCTTGGTAAAGTGAGGCTAGCCTTCGTTTATGTTAATATAGCAACACAAACTGTGTCTCGTTTCTAGAGTACAAGCATAAGGGATGCAGTGTGGTGCAGGATCTGCCACTCACCTACTGGAAGAATTTAGTAAGTCGTGTTACCTCTTTGTGCCTTAGCTTCCCCATCTGTAAAATGGGAATAATGATACTGACCTCCTTTGCAAAGCTCTCTGAGAGCTATTGATGAAAAGCGCTAAGGTAGAATGGATATTATCTTACATTTAGAAATAAACCTAGGCATCCTGTATAAAGGCAGAATGCTGCTACAGTGTAACTCTTGGGTGAAAGAAGGTCACTAATAAATTACATTAACTAGATTTCTGTGACAGTACCTTCTGAATGTAATCACACTAAATGGATCAGTTTAGAAGCCCTTGACCTTCCCTGCTTCACTGTTGGTTTTAAATTAGTTTCTTAACCACATTACCAATTGATTATTGAAAAGAACATTTTAAATCAAATTTTCCACTGTATATGCTATTTACTACTTGCAATTCTGTTTGGACAGTGAAAATAGATTAGTATGTTTCCCTTTCTGATTGCTATACATTGACAGGTTACTTGCAGTTGTTAAAAATACTGTGGGGGAATTTTACCACTTTTAACACCTGTTCCAGTTATATTTTTTGAAAATGTCATGGAAACATTACTGTTTTCTTTTGAACATATGCAAACTAGCATTCCTTAACATAGAAGTAATGAATTTCACACTGTGAAATGAAAAAAGTAAATCTTTTTATTTGCATGTAGGTGGATTGATTTCTATAATGAATAACTTGTTTAAAAAATAACTTGTTTAAAAAATAAACTTCCTATGTAGAAATCACACTTGCACAATATGTTGTCAATTAGTAGATTAAGTGTCAGACTAAATTTAGTGAAATCAGGTATAAGCGAAAAGGAGAAATGCAAGGCAACCCAGAAAAGTGAATAGTCTAAGATCACTTCACCATTGTAACTAATTATCAAGTAGCCAGGTAACACTGAAAGACCATATGCTGCACTTTCCAACTGGGTCCTCTGGTACAATCAAGGAACATGATTTTTTTAAAAATGTATGCGTGTAATTGTCCATGCAGTTTCGTTTATAAAAATAGATTTTAAAAAAAATCATAAATCAAACATTCAGACCTTTCAGAGTAGCAGCAGTAGTATTCAGACCTTTGAATTAAATGTAAAAAAACTTTTACTTTCAAATCCTAAATGCATGTATGGATCTCAATGTCGCAAATCTTTGCAATGGGATCAACAAAATTGTACATCAAATACATCAAATTAAGAGCTTAATTGCAGTAATACCAGTTTTATATCTAGGGAGAAGAAATAGGATGACTGTTTTTTGTTTTTTTAAAGATTTCTTGTGATTTATTTTGAATGCTCATTATGTGAACTTTAAACCAAATTTTTAATTCAGAAAAAAATCTGTACTATCTAAAGGGCTAGTTTAATTTCTCCTCTTCACTACAATCTTTTGTTTTAAGAACATCAGATTATGTGGTGGTCATCAACATTTAACTCCTCTAAAAAGTAATGTGGGCAGGATTTATATTAAATAAAAGGGAATTCTGTCTGATTCCTAATGGAAGTTGGTGGGATGCAAAACATACTGGTAATTTGTTTTAATATTCCCTCATCAATCCCTTCTGTCTCCCATTTGTTTGTTCTAGCTACCTGTTGCATCTTGTTATAATTAGGGTGACCAGATACCTGTTTTTATAGGGATAGTCCTGTTTTTTTGGGGACTTTTTCTTACATAGGTGCCTATTACCCCGCTACCCCGTCCCATTTTTTCACAGTTGCTATCTGATCATCCTAGTTATAATCCTAGATTGATTGTGAGCTCTTTGGGCCAGAGATTCTCTATTTATACGGTGCCTAGGACAGTGTGGTTGCAATCTATGATGCTGCTGCATGCTACTGCAGAGTGAGTAGTTCAGGGAATAAATAGGGGAGGAAGGATAAATGCAAATACAGTTCGTGTACACACATTTGTTTGCACACAGTATTTTTCTTCAAACTGTTTGGAAAAACTAAACTTATTACAGGCTGCTATAACAAGCAGCATCAATTTCTTAATCTGATTTTTCTCTTCCCTCTAGCACTTCCCCCCATCTTTTCCCTCTATTAATTTGCCTCTTTTCTTCCACCATTCCTGGTGCTTGAATTGTTGCTTATTTTCCCTCAATACCTATTCATTGTCCTCTCCCATGTCTGTTTATCTACAAAATAAAACTGGATATGTGAAAAGCCTTTTCTTTTTTTAAAGGCAATGCTACTTTTAAAGACTGCCAGTGTAATAAATTATTCTTCATGCTTTTTCTTGTCCATCTCAAGGGTCCCTCATTTTCATCCCAAAGGCACCGATTCAGTCTTACATGGCCTGGATTTTTCTCACTTACTACTGAAAAATACATCTGACATCCAGAATAGAGAATTACAAAATTAAGGTTATAAAATGTTATTTACACTAAAGGAATGAATCCACAGCATTTTTAAATTTCCTACATGAATAATTTTTGTCCTTCAAGTCTGCCAAACATTCTGGTCTTCATTTCAACCTTGGTTGGTTGAGGTACACTTCTCCCACCTCTAATGTATGCTCAGAAGCCTTATTCACTAAGGGCTTGTATACCTAGCAAGTTCCTGTATTGCAAGCCAGGGTATGATCTATAGGGAATCAGCTTACCCCTCAGTAATGTCCTGTGTGGTCACTGCTACAGTATAGTGAAAGTTCTAGAGTGGGACCTAGCGTACTGCTAAGCCGCACTCTGGAGCTTCCACAGCACTGTAGTAGTGTCCATATTGGACATTACTGAGCGGCAAACTGGAGCGCTGTAGATTCACACTTTGGCTTGCTGTGCAGTAACTTGCTGTGTAGACACACCCTAAAAATACTTTACCAAAATACACTTACAGAAGAAGTTGTCTTAATCTGCTTGTTAATAGTAAGCACAAAATCTTATCATTTTACTGAGAAGGAAGTTCTTGAGAGGTAGTATTTGAAGCATTGTATGTCTTAACCTTTAATGAACACATTTCTATTCCATGAAACCAAAACAAATTGCAAGAATTCCTTGACATTAGGTTCCTAAAAATGTAAGAACAGACCCAGAGCAAATAGTAATTCTAGGGGAAAGATAAGGAGCCGTTCGTTCATGTAAATTCTAAACATAACTTACCTATTTTTGTTACTATGGTGCTTAAATACCTTCTACAGCAGTCCTTGTTGGGTGATTTCAGTTTCAGCTACAGAGTTAGACTTCCAAGAGCTATATCTCTTTGTAACCTCTAACAACTTATTTTATTTCCCAGAGCCTGTATACTTTATTACTCATATTGCTGTACTAATTATTTTTAGTACAATTTTCACTCAGTGAGGAATTATGTGAAAATGCAGGACTTTGGTCTTTAATAAAAATTGCAAAAAGTAAAATGTTTCTATCTCCTTAATGCCCTTTGAAACTATGATACAAGGAATTTTTTAATGGGTAGTAAATACCGAGAATATACCGGTTAAAGGCCTTGGCTACACTTGTGAGTTGCAGCGCTGTAAAGCTTCCCCCAGCGCTTTAACTCACTCCCCGTCCACACTGGCAGGGCACTTACAGCGCTGTATCTCCCTGGATACACCGCTGCAGGTACTCCACCTCCCCGAGAGGAATAGCGAGTTTTGCGCTGCCGCTGCAGTGCTGCAGCACCAGTGTGGCAGCCCAATGCACTGTGAATGGCCTCCAGAATTATTCGGCAGTATCCCACAATGCCTGTTCTAGCCACTCTGGTCAGCAGTTCAAAGTCTACTGCCCTGGCCTCAGGTAACCAACCATGTGACCCACCCTTTACATTCCCCGGGAATTTTAAAAAATCCCCTTCCTGTTTGCTCAGCCCGGCATGGCATGGAGTGCTATCAGCGAATCTTTTCAGGTGACCATGCCTTCACACGCCAAGCGAGCCCCAGCATGGAGTAATGGCGAGTTGTTGGACCTCATCAGTGTTTGGGGGGAGGAAGCTGTCCAGTCCCAGCTGCGCTCCAGCCGTAGGAATTATGATACCTTCGGGAAGGTATCAAAGGACATGATGGAAAGGGACCATGACCGGGACGCCCTGCAGTGCAGGATTAAAGTGAAGGAGCTGCGGAGTGCCTACCGCAAAGCCCGCGATGCAAACGGCCGCTCGGGTGCTCCCCCCGCGACCTGCCGATTCTACAAAGAGCTGGATGTGATACTTGGGGTTAACCCCACCTCCACTCCGAGCACCACCATGGACACTTCAGAGCTGGGGTGGGGGTGGGGAAAGGAGGAGGAGGAAAATGGGAGTGAGGGTGGTGGGCCGATGGAGACACCCCGGAATCCCTGGAGTCATGCAGCTAGGAGCTCTTCTCGAGCCAGGAGGAAGGTAGCCAGTGCAGTGGCCGGTACTTGGTGGAGGACAAACAAGAGCAGGTTCCCAGTAAGCGGGTTTTTTTCCGGGAAGGAATTTTTTCAGTGCGGGCTCTTTGGGAAAGGAGGGTTAGACATGTATGTCTAGATGCGGAATAGTGCATTGATGTGGTTTATCAAATCGCGGTAATCGGCCTCTGTAATCTCCTCTAATGTCTCATCCAGAACGCGTGCAATGCGCTTGCGCAGGTTTATCGGGAGAGCCACCGTGGTCCTTGTCCCACCCAGGCTAACGTGTCCGCGCCACTGTTCCGCGAGCAGCAGGGGGACCATTGCTGCACACAGGCAAGCTGCATAAGGGCCAGGGCGGAAGCCGCATTGCAGTAGAAGACCCTCCCTTGCTTCCCAGGTCACCCTCAGCAGCGAGATATCGTCCAGGACGAACTCCTGTGGAAAATGTTGGGACAGTGTTCAGTGTAGGTGCCCCCTGAAGCTGTT